TGCTGATGTAGTGCAGGTGCTGTTGTCTGAATCCTGAGATCTGCAGCTGGCTGCCATCATTGCCATCTGTGCAAAGGAGCTGCAGATGGTGTGGGTAGCAAACTATCCAGGGTTACTGTAACAAGATGTGCTTGGGACTCTACATATTTGGCTGGGGGAGATGAACTCTCCTGGTTTACGGTAATAAAGTTGACTTGCGCCCTGCACTGACCCTTACTAATTTTTGTTAAATATTCTCGTTTAGGGCAAGGGGTGAGTGGCTATTGGTTTTTTTCCATATTCTCCTTAGTTTTTAATGTTTTCAGAGGTAGTCTTCATCTCACTTTTCCTGGACTGTAGTATCTGACAGTATACTTACAATTTTTCTGTGTACCATTAGTGGAAGAGTTGTGTGATTTCCGTAAGGGTATGTAGAAGGAGAGAGCATCAGTTCATGTAAGTGTGTCTGGTCAAGGACCTTTCCAGTGCCAGAAGGAGATAATAAGAAAAGGGGGAAAAACCACGAACATTCTGAGACACAAACCTGACCAACACAAAGGAAAGGAGGCAGTAACAAGGACCAAACCTGGACAGTCACTAATTGATGAGGGTATGTGGAATGTGAGAATGTTTATTTCAGTGAGATTATTTGATCAAAGACCTTGTCAAATGGGATTATAAGGAAAAGAGGGAAGCCATAAACGAAATATAGAGAGATACAAAACAAAAGACAAACTTAATGGAGACAAAAACAAGAAACAAACCTGGTCAGTCACACTAACTGATGGGTTATCAGGAAACTGCATACAAGCAAGGACTCTGTGACTTCATAAGGTTGGAACCTGAGAGTCCAGGATGTTGGAGGGCATCAGTGGGAATATGCCAGCCCAAAGAGGCAATGTGAAGGGGAAGGGAGTCGGGGAGAGACAAACAAATCTCAGGTCAGTCAGAAAAGGGGCCAATCATGCGTAAACTGTGGCCAGTCTTTACACTTGTCTCACTGAGCCCTGTCCCTGATCACTGCAGTCTGTCCGATTTTATTAGATCTTTCCTTAACTCTCTCGCTGTGTAATCTCACTCTCTATCCTGTGTTTGCAAGTGCTGCAGGAACTAAGCAAGACCAGCTTGAGTGGTCTTGAGACTAGGCCAGAAACTTGGAATCTCACTGGAGGTATAGGCACTACCAGGTCTGTGGTGCCAGCAGTGGGAACAAGCGGAGGTCTTGTTGTCAGGAGCTGGAGGATCTGTAGCTCTCTGGATTATCTTGTTGGTTTGCTACAGACTTTATATCCATAGTGGCAGCTACTGGGGGCACTGGTTTGAGTGGATGGGGTGCCAGCTGCTGCAGTCGGGTGAGGGACGCCCTTGGTCTATGTCAGTTACTGGAGCAAGTGGGGTCTAAGTACCAGCTGCTGGGGTGGGTGAGTGTCTTGGCTGCCAGTCCCTGGAGCAAGACTGATGTGTGTCCCCAAAGTGAGCTACTGGAGGGGGGACCAGGGTGAGTGAGGGTCTCTGTGTCTGTGGCAGGAGCAAGACCACAGGTCACAGCCCATATGTGCCTGGTGCCAGCTGCAGGAGGGGAGTGAGTGTCTGTATCTTCCCTAAACCTGTTGTGCGCAGCAGGGGTGGGATGTGTTTGTATTTGTTGGCCATCTTCAAGCTGGACCAGCTGGTGAATAGGGAAGCCTTGGGACCAGACTAGGGTATCAAGCAGGCCGAGGGTCCATGCTGGTATTTTGGGAGACCTGCAAGTGTGGCGTGCCTGTGGGTCAAGTATATGAATGTCTGCAGTGAGCATCAAGCTGGCCCAGACGGCAAGTTGGGGACCCATGGGGTGTGTAACGGGACCTGTGATTGGGGCAGGCATGCCAGGTGGGCAAAGGGGACATGACAGCACTTGGGATAACCACGAATGTATGTGTGCTCGTGAACCTGGTGAGTGTTGTATGTGTGCCTGCACTAGTGACCTTCTGTCTCTGCCAGCTTGGCTGTTTATGTGAGTCCCATATGTGAGTGCTGTTGAACGCAGCACCTTGTCTGTGGCAGCGTGTGTGACCAGCCGTGTCAATGCCCTGTGTGTGCTATGTCTCTGGGATACATGCTCAGTTTTGCTGCTGGTTGAACTTGCGAACTGGTTACTACTGTTTGAACCTGTGAACAGGAAAGCTGTGACTCTCAGCCTCGGATGGAGGCACCATAACCATCCCACTCTCTTGGCACACTGGACTGGACAGGAGGAACTCCTGGGCCCAGAGGAAGTGCCTGCTCCTCACATAATATCCTTTAAGTTTCTTTTCCTTGCTGTTCAAAGGGGAGATTTGCTTCTTTTGTTGCTTTAGCACCTGATGTTTATATTCACAGTCTCCAGTATGCAGGGGTTCAAGAGCTCTGTGACCATGGTGAAAAATCATGAGATGTGTTAGCATAGCGATGACTTGTCAATGCACTGGAATAGCAAGTAGTATAAATAACTAGTCTTGTTACTAATTTTTAACTACAAGTACCCTTCTCCAAAGTACTTTCTTAGGCTAAAGATAGATGAAGATCAAACTGTATTTCTTACGCAGTTAACACATACATGGAACAAACATGGGAATGAAATACTATTTTTGGAGCGGACAGAGGAATCAAAATGCATTTTGAAAGTGTATTTTAGGGGACTGGTAAGTTTGGTATTAACCAGGCTGATGGCTTAGCTCTAGAAGTGACATACTAGGCAGTGTTTCTGTGAAAGTGTTTTAATAAAGATTTGCTTGCAGATCTAGATAGCTGGCTTTTGTAAATGATTGGTAGACTGCTGGCAAGGACTGGGGAAAACAGACCTAAGAATAATCTATCTCTCTAAAGGAATCTACTTTGTCTTTGGTGCCTGGCAGCACATAGAGAAAGATGGTGTAATTAATGCTTCAGTTTTTGTGGCCTATGTTGTCCTTCATTTGCAATCAGTTTAAGCCTAACTTTTTCATACATTAAAGGAGGATGAAATGCAATTGTATGTAGGTAAGAACAGTATTCTAGTAAGTACCTCAGTCACACGCAGAAGCCAACAGATAAAATACTATTTCCTTGTTCGTATTAAATAAGTATTTGTTACATTTAATCATTAATGTAAAAATTGAAAAGTAGAGAATGTTTTGACATAGTTTTCAGCTTCTCTTGTGGGCTTCGATTCTGAATGCAGGAAAACTGTAGACTTCTAAAGCAAAGCTCTGTTTGCTTAGAAAATTACAGTTCTTATTGAACGGTGCCAAGGTATAATACTAGTGTGCTGGCATCGATTTTTCAAGGATCCTTTTTCATGAGGTGGTGTGTGTCTATCTTGGATTGTTTTTATAGATCCATTCCTTTGCGTCTTCCAAATACATGCTTTTTTTATAAAGCTCACTTCCTCAGAAAATTTCCACCGTTATTATTCACAAATTTTTAATGTAGAAACATCTGTGGGCATCATTGTATACTTACTCTTCTGAGGGCTAATAAAGGTAATTGTTAAAAACAGTCCATGTCACTCAATATGTACCTATGTAGGCTGTGATATGCTTCAATGCCTGAGCTAATAAAAGCTGAAAGTTTGATGTAATCAGTTACTATAGTAGATGTGGCTGTGTGTAGGTAATAATTGTTACAGTTTATTGCATTAGTTACAGGATATTAATGAGCTAACAGTCCATGAAAATGTTCTGTGTGAACTGCTTCTGAGTGATATTTTAGGTAAGATTTTGAGAAGAACAGAGTATTACATGTTTACTGAAATGCAGATGTGGGATATTCATTGCATTGACTTTACATGTTGATTTTATCATTGCTTTTTAAGAAGAGGTAAAAAACCAATCAGCATGTTTTGGTTTTTGGTAGCTTAAAAAGATGCTTGAAAATTCTAGGCAAATACAGAAAATCCTCTTAGTTTGTGAGATAAGTTTTATGCAGAATTAATTTATGGAGAATTAATGTACAATAATTCTGTAGAAACACACTGCTGTCATTCTTGCAGCAGAAATAAAACATGTTTGGAACAAGACTCCAGTGTTCTTTGCAGCTTGATTTGTGCTTCCACTTCTCTGATATGCAGACTACAGTAAGGTCTCTAATACCCATCCTGGATTAGTTTATGATTGCATGTACCTTTTTGTCATTGGTCAGCGACCATGTGTTTATTACAGTATGTAACAGTTGAGTCTTGTGTATATTTTCCTCAGTGGAAATAGCACTTCTCTTTTCCCCCTTTACCAGAGACTAACTTTTTGTCATAAAAGAATAGAATTTTCTTTTAGACATTGGGTGATTTCCATTGGAGCTAGTTGATGGGTTCATAAAGTTTTGCAAGGGACAGGCTGGTGAAGAGATGACATCTATTTCTTCATTTTTGAGAGTAATGACAGATTAGGTGAATGTTTAGGCATTGGGAAAAAAACGCACATTACCGAGGATATGCTGTGATGCAGAGACACCTGATGACAAAGAATCTAAACTACACTGCACAGTGCACTTCCAAGAGCAACAAGGTAGTTAAATACAACTCTGCACTGAATTGGCTTGTAAACTCTATCCTGTAATGCCACACCTAATTTAAACTGCTTCTACTGCTTTCTGGGGGTGAGATGGGAGGCAACAATAACACTGCCAAGACCATCTGGACCTCAATGACTCCATCCGGTCACATAAGTGACTTCATCTTGTTTCTGAGGTCATGGGGCACAGCTCTTTGACAACTTACTAGACCTGAGCTATATAATGTACTTTAAAGGAGATTAGTCCTGGCCTGTGAATAAGACACTGCTTTTAGGCACAAGTGGGCTGTTCAGCCAAAATACTTACTGTTATTGTAGTTATGATCAGAGTATTAGAAATGTTGGAATGTAAATCAGATCACTGTTACTGGAGTGCATATATCCTCTGAAGGTAGCATATGCAAAATGCTCGGTTTACTAGCACATTAGGTGCCTCTAGTTAAATTTGAAAATGGTTATAAACTTCGTGTTTACCAGTTCACATCATGGAATAAATCATTGCTTTTTCAGTATGCATTCATGAAGAGGAAACACGCAGCTGCAGATTTCCAGTCAGCCTGGTAGGTTTATATAGAGTATACCCACCAGGTTGTACTTACTGTGTAAAATCTTCTAAGGAAAAGGCTATGCTTGAAAATATGCTTCAAGTATTAGATTTTTCTCAATACTTTCTTCAAGTATTAGACTTTCAAAATAAAGGTCTTCATGGGCTGTAGGATTGATGTAGTTTATTCCCTAAATTTGAGACTGAGCATATGGAGTAGTTTCCTGTATTTTGCAGAGCCATTAAGTGAGAATATGCAGAGGGTTGGAGAGTGATTTTCAGATATTGGCAGCAATTGTTATGGTAATAATTCCTTTCTGTGATGCTTGATCATCTGTGTGTGTGTGTGTGTGTGTGTGCTACCTTTATAATTTGACTGGAAAAGAATGGGAAAGAAACACCTCAAAGGGTGTTGTTTTGGTCAAAATACCTAGTCTTTCCCAAATGAAATGGAACAGCATTTAGATAAAACATGCACAAAATTATTACAATAAACATACACAGAAGTATAACAAAAAATTGTATTTTTTTTTAATAATATGTTTCCTTTAAAGGACGTTTTACAGATGGGCATAGTCTTTAATCACCTTTGTTACTATTACACTGTGAAAGTTTATAGGGTACACAGATGAAAATGGGGCAAAACTGTACTGGGGATGTCTGTGAAATGCCAGCTTTTAGGGATGAAATTTTAGGTTTTAGTGTCCTGCCACAAGTTCCTTCTTTAACTAGTAGCAATCTGATGCCTTTGTCCTGGTATTGTTGCCTTTAAATATGAAGCAATCTATATTTGTGTTCATCATATTCTTTTTGTTGAAATAATATTTAAAATCAGGTAGTGCTTCTACATTTTTAGTTCAGAGCTAGATAAAATGTTCTTGATACCTGCCAAATGTTCTATTCTTGTTTCATGTTGGACAGGAGAAAAATACATGGCATAATGGTTGTAAAAAGCAGCAGTAGTCCCAGAGAATGTTTTGAATATTAGCAAGATGCAACTAGCGTGGTTTAGGGATTTGCAGAGCTACCATCATTGCTGAAAGTATCAAATTCCACAAACAAACTATTGACCTTAATGACCAATAATAATGTAGATTGCAAAATTATACTGGCAGTATCTAGTTATTCCGCATGCTTGTTTAAAATGACGTGAAAACAAATCTTAAATTATACAGGCTATGTGTCTGTCATTAGGTCCCTGTACTTTCCCACATGCTGGTATTGCCTTGCTACAATCATCACATGACAATTGGTTTCTTAATAAAAACTAAGATAAACACCAAATCTTCTTTCAGTTTACGCTTGTGTTGGGGTTTTTTTATGGCATCAGTTTGCAAATAAGTTTGACTTAGCTTCAGCTTACTACTTTTTCAGTACAGGAAAAAGACATAATTACATTTTAAGTCTATACTTATATGTAGTTCCAAAAATGAATTTATCTTTATTTTATTTCTAATGGGAAACAATTCTGAGTGAAAATACAGTTGCTTAATGCAGAGGGCAATTAGCACTTATTATGGAGTTTGAAATAGCTATGTGAGTTAGTAATTTGGAGTGATGATGAAGGCTAACAGCAGTTTGCATCTCCATTGTCTTTGAAGTAGTGCACTCCACGTACAAAAGGAAAAGTCAAAGAACTGTTTTTCCAAAGTAGACTGCTTTCTACAGGGTAGGGTATATTAATGTTAATGCCTGGGAAAGCTGCCAGATTCAAATCAGGGCAGTAACAGCAGGAGATCCCAGCTAAAGGCATGTATAGAATGTGGCAGGATAGCATGGTTATTTTGTTATTTCAGCAATTTGTTTTCTGCCAGCTCCACTAAACCTAGTGTTTCCTTCCTTCATTTGACTTTTTGCACTCTCAAGACCCCAGTATACCTTACTTACCTGCATTTTTATTACCTGTGTTTCTCTTAGAATAGACTTCAATCATCACAATTCAAAAATTTCTCCCATCCTGAAACTCCCAAGTTGGGCCACAAATCATACTTCTTTCTGACTCACTCTACCACAACAATAAAACATTAAAACCAGCTCTGAACGGCAGAAAAATGTGGCATAGTTTCCTTACAATTTGTCCTTTGGCAAGGTTCTTTGAAATCTAAAATACGTATTTTTCACAGAAGCTTTGCTTCTCAGGTATCTCTTCCATTTTTTGGTGTTGAGCTCCTGAGGGCAGGCAGCCTTCTGGAAGTCTTGCCCTTTGCCTGGACATCTACTTTCATGGATTTTCAGGTTCATACCTGTCTTTCAGCTTTCTTTTTTTCTATAAAATTTAGCTGCAGTTTGTTAAGGAGTTCAAAAGAGATTGAGCAACAAGCAGATACATTCCTCATCAGCCGGTTTTCTGTAAGGAAACCATGCTAATAGTTCTGCATCTAACAGATTTAGAATTAAAAAATGCATGCCCCCATTACTTTATGCTTTTGTTGTGGTTTTTTATTTTTTTGGTTTGACCTTTTTCTGTTCCTTCATCATTACTAGCGATTGCTTGAGATAAGGTATAGTAGGGGAAAACTGCAGTTCGTGTTTGTGCAATCTGTGGGAACTTTTGAGAAGATTGACAGCTCTATTTAATGATTCAATATGTGGACACACGGTGAAGAGGAGGTAGTTACTTGTGTTCGGAACCAACTGGGAGGACATAACTTGGAGGTGAATGGCCTTCATATCACTAGCTCTGAAAACTCTAGGCACTTTGTAGTCCCTGCAGAATTTTAGTAAGTCCACAGGCTTAACCAGAGATTGATGATCAGGTTTTTTTCAGGTTATGTGTAGGTACTTTTCAGTGACCATAATTATACTAATAAGTAGAAGGATGAAGCACCTCTGTGCTGAGCTAGCAGAATTAAAATAGGCTGCAGTCTGAGTAACTGATAGGAAAGGGACACAGTGCAGAGTGCAGGCTCTGTATGACACCTGCTTACTGACAAGTATGGACTCCATTGTTGTAAAGACTGCTTATACATCTTTTCATGCTTCTGTAGCCTATAAATGCTAGGGCAGGAGGGGTGTAAAATAGGTTATGCCTTATTTTCTTCACATTATTATCCTCTGATAACAGTTTTAGTTTTGCAGGGATGTTAGAATTTTTAGCTTTTAATGCTTTAATTACTACTGAAGTTAAGTAGTAATGCTTTAGGGGTTAGGGAGACATCACAAATCTGTGTTACAAACATAATAAATAGGGAACTACTTGCAGCTGTTTAATTTCATGGTGTTTTAGTGCAGTCTTCAGTAAGTTCCTCCTAATGCTAGCTGTAAAGCAATACTGAATTAAGGACTGTAATTCACTCATCTGGAGGTGGGTTTTGTTTTTGTTTTGTTTTGTTTTTTTGCACCGGCATAGAGTGAAGACAGTCCTAGTCCCAAGCGACAACGCCTTTCCCATTCAGTCTTTGACTATCCAACAGCATCACCAGCCCCATCACCACCAATGCGACCATGGGAGATGACATCAAATAGGCAGCCTCCTTTGGCTCGACCCAGCCAACACCACTTCTCAGGGGAACGATGCAACACACCCGCACGGAACAGGAGGAGGTAAGCAAGCTGTGTAGATTGGGAAACAATTTCTTACTCTCCCTGATTTCAGCTCAGGGGAGGTGTATTTGAGGTAGCACTGACTAGTTAATACATGGTAAATGTGTTAATACTTCCTTTGAGATGTAAGTTATTATAGTTGTAACTGAAAGTTACTGAAAGTAAGTCAGGTTGGTGCATCACCCCATAATTCATATGAATAGCAACTTGGGGGAAAGGAGTGCTCATGAACATTTTTAATTATGAACCTGATTCTCTTCACTGCACTGGAGCAATAAGCATTTAGAAAAATGTGAGGAGAAATCTTTCTCATCAGAGTACTTTTAAAGATGCTAAGTTATTGATGTAGTACCATAATTTTCACTGCAGTCACAATTATTTTCGTACATAAAAGCAATCTAAATAAAGATGAGCGATACTGGCTGGAGAGAGCGAGGAGGTTAGCAGTGTCAGATGGTTGCTGAGGTGGGTGATTCATACGTGGCAGGAGGTAGATTTTCATGTTGGCTTTAGCTTGTGGCTCATAAACCTCTTAAAGCAGACATTTTGGAAGAAATTCCAATAGTTGTGGAAGAATAGAGATTTGGATAGCCAGGTGGAACTGGTACCTGGACGGATGATAGTAGAGGAAAGCATAAAACCACAGACTTCTTTACTGTTTTAGTTAAACTAATTAAAATTATCCAAAGCACAAGCTTTCATTGCCTCACATTCTGCCTCAAAAATGCTGAATCATCTAACGCAAGTTAAAACACACCATCCCTCTACATGGTTCTGAGAAATACTGTGGCTTGGTTTGTACTGAAATTGAAATGTCTGTACTTTTTCATGAATATAAAATACTAGACTTAAGAAACACATAACTGGTTTTCTTCTCGTTCCACAAATCAAATTTGTTAACTGTGATCAGGCAGGGATAATTTTGAGGCAAGAGACTTTAAAAAATGCTAGTTTCTTACCTTTGCTTCAAGTCCATCAGTCTGAAAGCTTTCGGCTGGTGGCATTCAAAACGCACAGCTCTCAAAACAGTTTGTCAAACTTAAGAAAGAGGTTGAATTGTGAACTTGCAGGGGTTATTGTGAAGACAGAAGATTAGGACTTTTGTACAGTTTGGTACAGGGATGCTGTATAGAGGCATTTGGTCCACAAAATGTTTTTTACCTTAAAATGATTTGAACCAAGATTCCTAGAGTTTGCTGCATTTGGCCATTTTTGATTGGTGTTCAGCCAGCCTACACAGATTTCTTTGCACTGTTCATTAAGATCTCTTGCAGAGTAAGTAGAGTGCTTAACAAGCTAAATGCCAGGTAGCTGAATGTAGATAGTTTGGATATACTGTGGGATGAAGAAGAATGGGATGTGTAGGAGATGAATGTGCATGGGTCAAATGACTGACATTCAGATGCCGTCAGGTGTTACTGAGGTAGTTGGATGCAGCATTGTGGGCACAAAGCTTTATTCTTTCTGGGGCCAGCTCACCTGGTCTTGGGTAATAACACCTGCTTTTGCTTTAATCGGAGACATTTGAATGTGTCGGTATTTTGTTTCCCTGAATTTGAGTCAGGGCATTTTTTTAGCTTGGGTGCACTGTTACGCTTGAGATGGCTCCAGGTCAATTCCAGAATAGTACTGCACCCAAACTCCTCTCCAAGAATGGGATCACTAGGGAGAGCAACATATACATGTGTCTTATTTTGCAGGAGTCTTTTTGAGTCTTAGAATGCTCTGGAGCCGTATCAGAACTAATAATCACTCTCGTGGATCAAAGCTTGATTCCTTAAGATCATTGTGAGTGCATCTGTTATGAATGCTTTAGAAGAGGGTATGCATGTGCTTTTGAAGCCAATTTCCTGTTTTCCCTGCTTTGTTTTCTCTCTTCCCATTGCAGAGTGGTCTCAGAGTTAATGAGGTTTTCAGATGAAGATAAGATGAAAGGTGCACTCCAGTTGCAAATGGTCATTCAGCTCAAGGGAACAGACTAGGGCAAGTGCAAACAAAAACTCTGAAGTGTGTGTAGTGTGGACATCACTCTGACCCAACATCATCAGCATTAACTCTCTTGTCCTGACAGTTCACTCCTGTTGGTCAGCACAGGCTGTGCTGGTTTTTTATTATTTGGATTTTTTCCATTATCTGGGTTACTATTTAGACCTTGTCACTTTGTATCAGGGATTTTGTACAATAGTGCCCTAATTCATTGTGGGTTTTTTTGGATTCATTGTAAGCAAATAAATACTGTGTTAAGAAACGTAGCCTTCTGGTATGAATTTGTAGAAAGTTGTTATTTCTGTCCCCCTACTTACAGTACAGATAAATTGTGAATGTAAAAGCATAATGCATGCCTATATGAAACAGAGAAGGCCATTCCAATTTGTATTTACCAGTCATTGTGAAATGCGGAGATCTGTACCGTTGCTGTGCCTCACCATTCATCTGTGCTTCCTTTCTTCCTTGTCTTGAATGTAATTCTGAACAGGATTTAAGAATATGTTACTGCAAAGAAATTGCCCTTGTTAGAAAATACTAAGATCTGCAAATACTAACTCTGCCGTTATGGATATCTTTTGATGGCTGTTCCTACCTGAGGATAGGAATTCCTGCAATTTTTTTTGACGCTTTATCCTGTTTCTTTGTTTTAACTGGGCATTTACCATATTTATACTGTGCATGTATAACCACAAGGGTTTTTTTCATGGATATTTTTTAAGACTTCAAACACAAGTTCATTACTGATGTTAAATAATAGTTTAGACCCATGTCTTGACAGTTCTTCTGAAGTAATTTCCAATAATTCAGGATGTAGGGCTACATATCTGGATGCTCTGAATTTTGCTGAATGAAACTAGTTTTTTTATAACTCTGCATAGGAAAAAATCCGGTTTTGCTTTTTACAGAGGATGATACTCCATTCATGTAAAAAGACACTCCAGAAGTTTTCTCAGCTTTTGCTGGCTGTGCTTTCTTATAATTCTGGGTTCATAAAAAGTAAAGCCAGACCTATTAACAAAGACAGGGGTAAGAGTAGTTTTATGAGAAGCTACCTTGCCTAAGTGCTGGTGGCAGTTAAAGTATTTCTGTACTTCTTCCAAAACATCGGAGCTGTCTTTTGTAACTTTCTTCTACTCCTTCAGCTTCTCCAAACAAAAATCCTTGCGTGGACATTTTATGTTAAAGTATTCAGAGCATTTCTGCTTCATGACAGGAAATAGCATCTTTAAAGCAACTTCAGTACTCCAAAAGATAGAACATCTTTTGCATCAATAGCTCTGTGTTTAGAAATCATATGTACCAGTTCTATCTAATGAGAATAACAGGTGTGTCATACTAGTAATACAGAGATGGAGAGTGGAACAAAAACTCTGGGAATGGAGACTGGAATTAAGGCAAATACATCAGCAAGATTCTAAATTTAGATTTTCAGAAGAAAATACAACTTGTGTACTCTGATGTGGTAATTTGTAAAGCTAAAGAAGGCTATGCTTTTTATTTTGTTATGTTTTAAGAATGTTGTGTCACCATCTGGTGTTTGGCCTTTTGTTTGACCTGTCATGAATTAGCATTTGTTTCAGTTCTGAGAAAGGCAATAATGGCATAGCATTCCTGTGAAGTAGGGCAGAAAAACAGTGTCGTGAGACATTGTATCATATGCTCACAGTAGCATCTGAATAGCTGGGAGTATGCTCCCCTTGCCGCAGCGTACCTCTGTTTGAGCACAGAAGCAGCACAGAATTTGGACTCAGCTTGAGGGATGTCTGGGATTTGCCAACAGGTTACAGGTTTATTTGGTTTTTTATCAAATATATCCGGTAATAGAAATGGGAATAATGAGATTGAAGAATCTTAAGTTCTGTTCCATGCACTGTCGGAGCGGACATGTTTGGATGGTCACAGACCCTTATTGTCACTTCTCTGCAGTTTGGTTCCTTCAGTCTGTTCCGTAAGTGGGAAACCATTTTGTCCCATGTAGCTTTAAGTTGCTGTTGCCCCTGTGACCTGTAATTTATGTGTTATAGAGATTGGAAGGCATGTATTGAAAGTACTGGGGGATGGTTTTGTGCTTTCAGTTCTTTCCCCTTCCAAATAAATGACAAGTGACTTGATCAAAACTTCTAATAGTGAGTTTATTACTTGTTACTTATTTTCTGAGTGTTCAAGCCGAGCCACTGGTCTGATTTACAGAAATCTCACCTCAAGACAGTAGCAGCTCTACTCAAAACTTAAACACACTTGAACATAAGAATACATAATCAAATCCTACGCCTATAGATAAGTTACTCAAAAGAAGTGGATGCTCTGGTCTAAATCAATCTACACAACAGTTCTCGACTCCGAAAAAAGAAAGATTACCGCAATCACAGTTTTGTGGGATCTTCTGGAGAGAATTCTGTGAGGCACTCAGTTATGTAGTGAACATGAGAACAGCAAAATTCACGTTTCTTCAGTGTGGCCTGGTTGGAGCAAGGACCCTGGGGAAATCTGTGATCATGTAATTAAGGATTTTTACGTAGAATAAATGCATGGAAATCTCTTGAAGTTTGTTATCTTGACTTCTGACCACTTGTCATGGCAATCCAAGTGCCATATTTTTTAACAGGTTAATATTTGCTTAAGAGTTGTTCTTCTGGTTTCCTTTACAGCATTAAGCTATCATCTATTGACACTTTTTTCAGCACAGAAGTGCTTATCCCTAAGGCTTTTAGCAGTTTGGTCAGTAAGAAGTTTTATTCCAATCTAATACTCATGTTCTGTTAAAATTTTCCAGTGTAAAAAATTCTTGATACTTGATTCTCATGTGGTTTTAGTTTTTAAGAAGGACTTGTGCCATTTATGTAATCTCTAATTTTTTTAATGTGTTTCCAGTCCTCCTGTTCGACGTCAGAGAACAAGGAGAGATCGCTTGTCTAGACATAATTCCATTAGCCAGGATGAAAACTATCACCATCTCTCCTATGGACAGCAGCAAGCAATAGAAGAGCCCCGAGCCTTTCACCCACCGAATGTATCTCCTCGTATGTTGCACCCAGCTGCTCACCCACCACAGCAGAATGCAGTGATGGTTGACATTCATGATCAGGTAAGAGTTTTAGCATACAAACAGAAGGGTGTTGAAGGTGTGGGGGGGTTGTTTTGGTTTTTCCCCCAAATCTTCAAGGTCTCTCTCCTCCCCAAATTAGTTGGCAACAAAGTCACATAACACTAAATTCTATTTGCCCTCTTACATATAATTTTTCCTGTTGAATATTACTGGTGTATAGAGCACTGCAGTAGATAGTGAAAAAAAAACCGAAAGTCCAGACTTTTAATAAAGAATGATATTTTAACAATTCGTCAATAGTTCTGTAGGCCTCTGGCTCAAACCTTTGAAATGCAGTTATTTTGCTTCTGAAGTTAATTTAATGTGATAAAGATGTGTTTTGATAATTAAGAATGTGTTCTTTTTTATGTGAAATACCTCTTTTTAGCTTAGGAGTCTTTAAATAGTTAAAATACAGTATTTAGAAGTAGAATTCATGATGCCTATAATTGGTTGCCTACATGACAGCAGAACTCAGACAGCAGGTAGTATTGTCACATAACCAAATTAGCCATCCAAGCTAGTCAACTCCTCCTTAAATGACATGAAAAAATGAGATATGTGCTCGATAAGTAATTCCTCTCTGCAACAGCAATTGGTATAGAATTCTGTAACTGAGGAACTGCAGAAGAAGTTGTCCTGTTGACGTAACCTTTGTTGTCATCATCGTTTGTTAAATCAGCAGGCTGCAGTACAGGTGCATTACTTGCTACAGAGTCATGAATTGGGAAATAGAACTGTTTATCCAGATGTCCACTTCTCAAAATGTGCATGCAAAGAATGCAACTCATAACATCCCTGCTTAAAAACTGGTTTGCATTCAGTGCAGCTGCATACCTCTGGTGTGTTGTATTATGTGTGCAGAGCAGTTCTCAGTAGGGAGTTATTTGCGCTTGGGACCAGGTGCAAGGGTGGAAGCTAATGCCATTCTAGCCATCTCACAACCTTACATTTTGATGAACAATTTTACTGCTGCATCATGTCAGAAATTCAAATCATGCTCTTGCTTTGTGTTGCAAGATTATGTCATGACAAGCCTGGATAAACAGTTGTTCCATCCCATTGCCTCTATCTTCCAAGCACCATCTATGATCAGATGTCAGTGTTTCCAGACTCACTGAGGTCTTCCATGGTGATGTTTTATACTTCAGGGACATAACCATGTTGAGAGGTCATTTTTTATTATTACTCTGAGCAGTAAATATTTAGGCATTGTACCAAACATTGCACTGTATGCCCAACTTTTGTACCTGAGCCAGAACCAAATCAAAGTCAGTGTCTCTCCTGAGAATAGTTTCTGTCATTAGTGATACACAGGTTGAAATTTTAAGTTCTGTTCTGTGATCTGTGTTCTGTTTTGGCCTCTGTGTCTGACTGTACATTACCAGTTCAGTAGGTCAACTGTCTTTACTCATTCTCACCTTCCTAATGAGCTGTTCTTGCTTGTTCCATTTTAAGGAAGCAGGTTCCATTTTAGCAGATCAAGAAGGAAGAAGGAGCTTCTTTGAAATAACTGTTTTTTATCAGTCCGTGCTCCCTGACACTTATGCCTTTTCAGTTTTATTAGAGCATCAGAGATTTCTTGTTTAGTTTAAAAAAAAAAACAAAACCAAAAAAACCACAACCAAACAAAAAAAAACCCAAACCAAAAAAACCAAGTGATTTGTAGATCCAGAATACCTTTGGATCTTAGTTTGATGGTTAAATTTTAGGGACTATCACTAGCTAGAAAATTGGGTTGTGTAGTCTGTTTCCTAATATAAATGGGGATACTTAGGGTCTGCTGCTTCATAGTCATGTTTACTTTTCAGCTTTCTGGTTAGCTATTCTGTTACATTTAGGTTAGGAAACTTGGCTTGAGTGTTGGTCTAAGAGTGAATCGAGAGGTTGGTCTCTCTGGAAGAGAGAAAATCTACACCGTTTTCTTGTTATTTAAAGATACAAGTCTCTGAAGAATTACTGAATCACTCCCTTCAGAGTTGAGAAGATTATTTAGATACTTTTATATTAGCTTTATGTGGGAGTTACTGCCACCTTACCTTGTAAGGGCTAACCTTAGTATGTGGGGATGGCAGGCTTAATAGAGTCTGAGACGCTTCTGAGTGACTCTAAAGTGCCTTGGAAGTTTTAATGTTTTAAGCTGAGACATCCCTCTTGGCCTTGCCCAGAAACTGCTGATCAGTAGGTGGTATTCCATTGAGAAAAATACTTTAATGAACAGGAATTACAAGCATATGCCTCCTTTTACACCTTCATTGTGAGTTTATTTTTTTCTGATATGTAGGTAGAAGCTTGTTATCTGACTTACTGTGCTGTACAACACTGTTAAGAGTTTACAGTAAGTCACTGATTTTTTTTTTTTCCTTTTGCTTCAGATCCATCAGGGCACAGTTCCTGTCTCATACACGGTGACAACGGTGGCTCCGCATGGGATACCACTTTGCACAGGCCAGCACATCCCAGCCTGCAGCACGCAGCAGGTCCCAGGGTGCTCAGTGGTTTTCAGTGGGCAACACCTTCCAGTTTGCAGTGTGCCTCCCCCAGTAAGTGGGTCTCTAATTACACCAGCTCCAATCTTAGACATGGGAATGGCATCCTGGAGCTGCAGTTTCTGTGTGGCTTTAATTGTGTTGGAAATAACCTTTTTTTTTTTTTTCCCTGGGGTAAATTTGCAGTGGCCTAGCAGTGTAGGCCTTAGAGCTGGTAAGCATGTGGTACTTACCTACTGTCTTTATATAGAGCATGACTGCTCATAGTACAGAGTCCTGATAGTTTTTAACTCAGACTGAATGCTGGTTTAGAAACTGATGACTTCTCAGCACAGCTTTTTTGCATACTTTCATTTAGTAAAAGGGAGGCTTCTAGGGCTTTTATTAGGCAGCTCACCTACGAAAAAATCTTACTTAGTAGAGACTTTGTTCAGGGAATGGTTATGATATAAAAAAGTCTGATATTGCAAAGTCAGTTTTCTTCTGAGAATTAATAAGATCCTGAAAGATCACTAAAAGCTGAAAAGGGCTCTTTGGTTTCAAAATGCTCTCATAAAATGAATCAAAATATGCTTTAATAATGATGTATGACTGTGCGTTTCTGGGATTAAAATAATGTGCCTTGACTGCCTAATTTGCAGCTCTGAATTTGAAAGAATTTGAACTTTTTCTCAGAAATGTTTAGGTATCAGCTCAGAGATACCACTTATCAGGTCATAGCATTCTGATGCTACCATTCTGTGGAAGTTTCATCATTAAATGCTAAAAGGTAGCAGAGCTGAAGAAGTATACCCCAAGAAGTTTCAGCTGTACAGATCAAGGTTGCAGAACCTGCTGGAAGAATCACAGCTACAGTCTACAGTAACCATTTATAGCGTTGGTATAAACATTGGTCTCTGCCAGCTGTGCATTTGCCAGCAGTATGTAACTTAACTTTTCCTGTTGTGCGTTCTGTGGCATAAGGGCATGAACAAGCTTATGACCCTAAAACAAAACCCTTGGTGTGACCACCTGTTTCTTTAAGGTGCTTGTTGAAGAGTGAGGGTAATTTGTATTCATCTTGTCCAGGTGCCATTTATCCCCATGAAAGACAAGGTCTGCTGCATACTGCCGGACAGTCTGGAAAATCTGTGGCAATATTTCCCATTACTTTTCAAATTGGTGAAAATCTGTTACATGGGTCAGTGTGTATCCCTGAGGCAGGATGAGACACAACTTTTTTCTTCTATTTAGTGGTGGTGTTAGTGGAGAAAAGCAATCTCAGACTGGTACCCAGAGATTAGAACAATATTTGTGTGGTGAATTCAGCAAGGCAACATTAACATGTCCTAAAAAACAACAGCAGAGAAGAAGCTAAAACTATATTGGGGCTTACGGAAATCCAAACAACAGATGCTAATAATCTTATCCGTCTGCTTTGAACAGTTCTGTGCAATTCATAAAATGTTTTAAAATTCAATAATGCAGCTGTCCTTTAAGTATATATAGGAGTAAAGGTCTAACGAGGTTGTTTGGACTGAATGTACAACAGTTAATCAAGTGTGTTGAGAGAATGGGTGCATAGAAGTGAATACAAAGGATTAAGGTTGAGTTTATGTAACATCAGCAGGCAGACTTTATGCTTTCTTCTATGTCACGGAACTGAAGAATAACATAAGATAGGAACGGGCTCAGGAGGTTGTCTGGTGGTCACCTGCTAAGAGCAGTACCAGTTTCCAAGGATGGAGATTTCACAACCCCTCTAAGCCTCCGTTCCAGTGTTTGACTGTCCTTGTGGTGAATTTCTTATGTGTATCTGATTGAATTTTCTTTGCTGCTACTTGGTCCCACTGGTCCTTGTCCTTTCACTTTGCCCCTCAAGGAAGAGTCAGATTCTGCCTGTCCACTCTCATGAAGTAGCTGAAGACAGTGGTAAGGTCTTTGCTTAGTTTTCTCTTTGGAAGGCAGAACAAATCCACTTGCAGTGTGCTCCAAGCTCTTGGTTATCGTGTTGTCTTTCAGCGTCTTTCTTTGGCACTGGGGAGGACAAAACTGCACGCAGGACTTGAGATACAGTTTCACAAGTTCCGCATAGAGGGGTGGAATCACTTCGCTGGACCCACTAGCTACATTCTTAATAATGCAGCCCAATGTGCAGTAGGCCTTTTTGACTGCGGGAGTACACTGTGGCTCTTCTGTACTTCTATTTGATATGTTCACCAGAACCCAACTTTTTTTTTTCTGCAAATCTGTTCACCAACCTGTCAGTCTCAAAATGTCCTGCTCCATGGAGTTGTTCTCTCCCAGTGCCAAACTTCACCTTTACCTTTGAACTTCACATGGTTCCTGTCAGTCAATTTCTTCAGTCTGCAAAAGTGCATCTGAAAGGTAGCCCTGCCCTTCAGCATGTCAGCTTGCTTGCTAGCTTCATCTGTGAAATTCCCAGTATCTGTTTGTTACTCTCACTGCAGATGTAACTATAAAATAAACAAATGTCCTTTATGAAATCATAGAATCATCTAGCTTGGAAAAGAACTTTAAGATCATCAAGTCCAACCATTAACCTAACACTGCCATCCCACCACTAAACCATGTCCCTAAGCACCTCATCTATCCTTCTTTTAAATACCTCCAGGGATGTGGGCTCGACCGCCTCCCTGGGCAGCCCATTCCAGAGCCTGACAACCCTTTCGGTGAAGAAGTTTTTCCTAATGTTTAACCTAAACCTGCCCTGGTGCAATTTCAGACCATTTCCCCTTGTCCTATCGTCCATTACCAGGGAGAAGAAGCCGACCCCCACCTCCCTACAGCCTCCTTTCAGGCAGTTGTAGAGGGCA